CTTGGATAATCTGTTCTGCATACAGGTTGAAAAGTTATGGAGATAAAACACATGCATGGTGTACGTCTTTCCCAGTTTTGAACTATGCACTGTTTCCTTGCTCTGTTCTGACGACTGCCTCTTTGTCCAAGTATAGGTTTCGCATTAGAACGATCAAGTGTTCTGGGATTCCCATCCTTCCCAGAGTCAGCCACAGTTTGTTATGATCCACACAGTCAAACACATTTGTATAATCAATAAAACACAGATAGACATTCTTCTGGTATTCCCTGCTTTCAGCTTAGATACATCTAACATCAGCTACAATATCCCTAGTACCATGACCCCTTCTAAACCTAGCCTGGACTTCTTTTCGGATAATCTTCAGTAGAATCTTGCTTGCATGTGAAATCAATGATATTGTTCTATAGTTTCCACACTCTGTTGGGGCACCCTTCTTCAGAATGGGAACAAATATAGATCTCTCCCAGTCAGTTGGCCAAGTGGTTGTTCTCCAGATTTCTTGGCACAACTTGGTGAGCACATCCAGGGCCACATCTACTAACTGAAATATGTCAAATGGTATACCATCTATTCCTGGGGCCTTATTTTTTTGCTATTTCTTTCAAAGCAGCTTGAACTTCTTCTTTTATCATCATAGGCTCTTTCTCATATGTGATTTCATTAAATTCTTCTGTGTCTGCCAGTTCCTTTTGATACAGTGACTCAGAATATTCTTTCCATCTTCTTTTAATACTTCCTGGATCACTTAATATTCTGCCGAAAGCATCCTTGATTATAGCAACTCGAGGTTTGAATTTGTTCTTCAATTCCTTAAGCTTAAGAAATGCTGAGCGAGTTCAGCCCTTTTGATTTTCTGACTCCAGCTCCTTGCACATTTCGTTGTAATATTTTGCTTTGTTATCCCGTGCTGCCCTTTGGAATCTTCTGTTCAGCCCTTTAGTATCTTGAATTCTTCCTTGTGCTTTAGCTTCTCTGCGCTCCAGTGCAATATTCACAGTTTCTTCTGACATCCATTTTGACCTTCTCTTCCTCTCCTGTCTTTGTCTTTCTGACCGTTTGTACTTCTTGGATGATACATTTGACATCCTCCCACAACTCATCAGGTCTTCGCTCATTAGTGTTCAAGGCCTCAAACCTGTTCCAGAGATGGTTCTTTTCTTGTTGACAACCTTCATTGCAAATATAAACCACAAGTTTATCAAGTTTCCCATATTCAGCTAGCATTTCAGCATTGCCTCTTTTTCTAGTTTTATACTGTTATTCTTCTTAGCATCACTTTAGGTGAGGTTCACATGTCAGCTGTTAACTAAAAGGTTAGTAGTATGAGTCCATCCAGACACAGGTTGAAAGAAAGGACTGGAGATCTGCTTTTAAAAGTTAGCCACTGAAAACTCTGTGGAGCACAGCTGTACTCTGATACAGGCCAGGACAACTGTGATTTGGAATCACGTCAGGGGCAACAGAATTTGTTTAAGTTGAATTTAGGGAGTGAAAACAAATTGCTTATATGTTTGTCTCTCATAGCACAGTATTATTTTTATCTTCTATTTTTTAAATTAAAACCCCTACATGTTTTAAACAGAATGTTTCTATCTTAATTAGATAGTGCTGCTAGAAGGACCACAAGGGGTACTAAAAAAAACCCCTTCAATATCATGGCTCTTGAATCAGCTTCTCAGAGTGACCCTCCATTAGGTTCCCATCTTGCTCCTTTGGACCTGCTAGAGGATCCAAACCAATGGAGACAGGGAGTCTTTGAGTTAACAGCAGAACTCACTCCAGCAGGCCTGGTAGACTACTCCACTAGAGCTCCCAAGAAGATGCCTTTAACAAACAGGAGATCTATTTCCTTACAGTTTAGGAAGTTAGAAGTCCAAATTCAGAGTTCTAAGTCTAGAGGCAGGTGGTCCTTCTTTCTTGGTTGTGGAAATTCCCCAAGTGTCTTGTCTTTCCCCAGTGTCAAGAAGGTCTCTCTGCGCCTTAGTCCAAAAGGACGAACTCCACTCCTGACCCAGGTTTCTTGGTACTGAGGTCTTCTCTTTCCCTTTGCTTTCCTTTTTTTTTTTTATCTTTTGTGACATAAAAGGTGTTTCCATAGGAAAATTTTCCTTACATCTATCACGGCTATGCTGTGTTCTACCTAAACTCTCTTACAACTACTTAGTTTATCAGTTATGGGGGATTATTATACAGTTTCCACATTATATTATGATACATATGTATTTTGAGGAGGCACAATCCAATTCTTGACAACCCCTTTAAAATTCCAATACTTGCATTGTCAGGGTCTTTTCTAATTTGAGTGCAGGACTATCCTAAAGTTTAGTACTGGTCAGAATTTAATGCATATAAGAGAGGGTATTTCATTAAAAACAGGTTGGTAATTGAAGCAGTGCTGCTAATATCCATTATCATACCATTTTCATCTTGTTTTTCTCTTCTCCAATTATTTTGAAATGTGATCAAGGGAGTGTTAGTTGCTTATTTGTTTTGACTCCCTTATGTGCTGTGTGGCACTGGAGTAGAAATTTCTGGAAAAAAGTTGACTTCATCCCATCTTTGCTTTTGTGTTTGAGTTATTTTTAATATTTTTATTGTAAATATTTTGTAATAAACCTGTAGTGAAAAGAATCACAATGTCATTTCTTATTACAAGCAGGATTGTGGGAACAAAATGTACAATTCTTTGATTAAAAGTATTTCCCACTGGCCTAAAAAAAAAAAAGTCAATTATGAACAACAGAGGTGTAAATGAACTGAAATTATTAACATATATATCAATTCTACGATAACCTGTGTAACCATGAAATTGTGGTTTCTCCAGTTATTGTTCTCTAAAAGTGTGGGGGCGGGGTGAGGCTTACAATCGCTTTCAATAGAATATGCTTAATTTGACCTTACGTTACATGTGCCACTTCAGAACTTGTTTCAAAGAAGTGGGAATAAAACTGACCTAGCAACTATTTTGTTCATACCTGTCACTCTAGCATGCAAAGGTACGTGGGGAACTTAGCATGAACTACAGTTTGCTGTAGAGAGTTTTACTTACTCTCTTAACTTATGAACATAATTTTCTCTGAAAAAAAAAGTCATAAGAGTATTTTTGGGTTTTAATCTTACCAAAGAACCCAGTATAACTGAATTTGTACACATCCTCAATACTTACTATTTTTCTGAGCACTTGTAAATTCAGCATGTGTTCAGCAATCTCATATATTTATGGTTTGCTGCTGTTGTTGTGGGACAGCAAGTCATCATTGACCCATAGCTGCCCCTCCAGCAGGTTTTCAGAGGCAATAAATTACACAGAAGGAAACTGCTGATGTTTCTCCTATGGATTACATACCTTTGGAATGGCAGCACAATTCCTTACTACTAAGCATATGATTATTGTTGTTGTTGTTATGCGGCTTATAGCGACCCTGCGTAAAACAGCCCTAAACCCTGCTCTATCCTGTGCCAATTTTATTGTCTCTGGCACACAAATTCCCATTTTTCCAGTCCCTCAATCAGTTCATCTCTATTAGTGAAGAATAATTCACATTTTTTCAATTTCCAATCAACAAAAGATTAGTTTGTCCATACGTGGTTATTATTATTCTTTAAAAATACCCCAAAGACCAAAAAGCTCAAGGATACTGTTCAAAATAATAAATCAATCAATTAGGAGAACTACTGTATAATGTTTTGACTGGGTTTATGAGGAACAAAGACAAATTGGGCAGAATTCAGTATTATGCTGGAGAAGTGTCAGGAAAAAAAAAAACAAACAAAACACATCGAAAGTTGCCTACCTGAGTATGCCCAAGGGCCTACAGTTCTTTATTCAGAAATGAGATAGAATGTAGTTGCTATCACCATGTACAGAAAGATTTATTACAAGATGTATGATTAATTGCTCTTCACCTTTGCTGAAAGAGAAGGAAAAAAGTTTAAAGGTTAAAATACAGGGTAGACATTTAACTAATACTTAACAAATAGCCACAAATGCTGATAAATGGTCTTTAGAATACTTTTGATGGGACACATTTCTTGGGGAGAGGAGTTTTATATGTAGCAATCTTCTTTGTTACAAATGAGACAGGCTCTGTCTTTAAAGCAGAGGCTTCAGCTGGGTAGTTGTATTCCACAGAGCCCCTGCAGACCTGTGAATCCCCTGAGCTACTTCTGTCCCTGGCCTTGTAATGCTGGGAGGCAACCAGACACAGTCAAGTATCTGTCCTTTCAGGTTCTCCAGCATCTAGAGGAGACAGTACCATCAGCAGCAACAGCAGCATCTCTTCTAACTGAATAGTTCCCAGAAAGGTGAGTCAGGTCAGCCTGTATCTCCATGCTTCCCTTTCCTTTAGCTTTCACTGAGTGCACACGCAGGAGCCCTGGAGACTGGCGACCTAAGGGCACCCTTCCCTCCTCAGCCTCCAATTTAAGCTGTGACTTGAGGACAAATGAGTAGGTAGCTGGTACTAGGTAGAAGTGAGCCGCCGCCGCCGGGATGCGCTCAGGGAGGAATGAGTTGCACCAACACCACCCGGTCCTTCTCGCCATCCGGCTGGGACTCAAGCGCTCCCAGCGTGCTGGACGCCCGCCACTCCCGGAACGAGCGTCCCACCGCGCGCTCTCCTTCCCGGCTCTCGGCTCCCGCGGGAGGGCGCGTGGGATGATGCTCCGGTGCCGGTGCCTTCCCCAAGCTCCCGCATCCGGAACCGCCCTAGGCGGCACCACCGCAGCCACAGCCGGGGAGGGAGAGAGGAAAAAAGGGAGGGGGGGCTGGCGCGGCTCGGGAGGAGGTGGCGAGGTGGGGAGGGAGGAGAAAAGGGGGAGGGCGTCTCTCTCCGTCAAGCCTCCGCCTCTCCTCTGCCCTGCCGCCGGCGACTCCGGATTCCCCTCCACACCGTCTCCTCGTCCCTCGCGCCCTTCTCCGCCCACCTCCCTGCAGCGCGCAGCGGCGGGCGCCGGGGGCGGCGGCGGTGGGCGTGTGCGCGTGTGAAGGACGCCACCTCTCGCTCCTGCTTTCGCAGGCGGCGGCGGCGGGCCGCAGGGCATCTCGCTAGGGCAGCGGCGGCAGCGACGGCGGCTGAGTCCAGAGTCCCGCCGAGAAGATGCTCAAAGTCACGGTGCCCTCCTCTGCCTCGTCCTGCTCCTCAGTCACCGCCAGTACAGCGCCCGGCGCGGGGAACCTCGTCCCGGATTACTGGATCGACGGCTCCAACAGGGACGCCCTGAGTGATTTCTTCGAGGTGGAGTCGGAGCTGGGACGGTAAGGCGCGGGGCGGCGCCGGAGACGCGGGCGCGGGGATCCCTGCTCGACTCCGCGGCGCGCGGGGGGCGCCCTGCACCGCCCTGGCCCGGAGCTCTCGGAGCGGCTCAGGCTCCTGGAAAAGCCCATGGCCAGCTTCCGGAGTCTCACCCTCTAGCAGCAACAACCCCAGAGGAAAGGGAGCTGACCTTCTTGTCTTTGAGTTTCTCCCCTCCTAGGGTCTTGGAGAGACGTTCAGGTGCACCTCTGGTCTCCCCCAGGGACCCCGGCGCTGAGACCGGTGTAGCTGCAAGCAGCAGCCCCAGGTCTCTGCCACCCTCCCACCTCCTAGCCGGCTGCCACTTCCCTTGGGTGACAGCTCTCGCTGCACGTGGGCCCTGTTTTCTCTATTGATGTCTTTGCTAACAATTACAGCTTGCCAGAGGATCCTGTGCTTGCAGTTGTTTAGGGAAGGGGGAGGGAGGCGAAGGATGCCCCTCCAAATCACGACAGAATTATTAAATTAGATTCCTCCTCCTCTCCTTCACCAAGCTCTCCAAACCAAGTGGTACTAGAAATTAAACTTAAATACTAGCTTCCCTGCCGAGTCTGCTCAGGAGTGAAGGGGGAAGAAATGAATCATTTAAGAGAGTTGAAGGCAGAATAATGAACTAATGTGGCTGTAAAGAGAAGCGGCGCATGGGGTCCAGGCAGTGGTAATTAGTGAGAGGAGTTCTGCAGCTCTTCTTTCATGTGCTGGAGTGATTTATTTGAATTATGTATGCAAAAAGCCATTGCCCATGGCCTGCAGAAATGTCCCTCAACTCTCCTCTGAAAAACCACACAGATTGCAATTTTGACTTGTAAATAGGTTCTTAAATTTTTTATCTATTGAAATTCTTTTCGTTTCCCTCTCCCCTTTCATTTCTTTTCTGTATCCGTATGTCAGAATTCTTAAATACTCATTGTAGATTCAGATTCTTTTCGAAGTTGAAATTACAAGAAATTTCAACTGTTGATAAGTTTCAGTGTTTGTCTATACTTCTTTGCAATTTCATTTTCTTTTCTTTTCCTTTTTTCCCCCAATAATTTTGCTCACAGTCTTGTTCTTCTTGCTGCCATTGGTGCCACAGGGTAGGATTCTGGATGTTGGTACTTAGTGGGAAGTTGTAACTTTTAAGTGTCTTTCTCCTGCCCCAGACCCCATATGATGGTATTACTAAGGCCTCATTGAGTAAGAAGGATAGATAAAAAAGGCATTATGTCTGAATGAAAAGTTAGTAATTTGTCCCTTTAAAAATTCTGAGGAGTATTTTTAATAATATATACATAAGGCTTTTTTCTTTGACCTGATTTCTGCATTTTTGTCAGAAGCATTACTATTGGATGCATACATTGGGAGATGGAACTTCAATTCTCTATCTGTGTAAGGTTTGCCTTCATTGTATGAAGCTCTGCAGAGGAGCATTATAAACTTCTGATGAAGGATGTAATCCACTTCAGATTGTTTACTTGGTGGTGCAGAAACTGCCACTCTGGAGAGGAAGTGCCTAAGGTGCTGGGACTGTCCCAGCAGCAAATCTAACTGCTTTCTGAGTAACCTTTATTCCATATACCTCTGATAGGCTCCAACTACTGTCAGTGCTTATTGTCTTTATGAATGGTAAGTGTTGCCTCAAGAAATTTCCTTCACCATGAGGAGAGAGAATAGTGGGTAGAACAAAAATTGCCAGCCGTACACTTTTAAAAGACCAAGGAATTTGAAAATTTTTTAAAGCTTGGTATCAGTATTTTGCAGTTGTTTTTCAAGACTCATATGGATCTTATATATCACTAACACATGGACTCTGAAACCTAGTTTTTGGATTACTTTGAAATATCAAAGAATTAAAAATATTTTTAGAAAAATGTAAAAGCTCTTACTACTTCTGTTATGGCTTTCAGGAGTAATGCCTCTTGTTAATTAGATTTTCTGTGGATGCCATTTAATGAAATGTTTGAGAAATAACACTTCTTGATAATTTTTTCCCTAGAAAATCAAGGTGAAACTCAAGATGTTACTGGTGTTTCAGTTACATTCGGTAACATTTAGTATTATTAATAACCTTTAGAGCCAGAGAGTACACCAGAGTTAAAATTGTAGACATTGACTGAGCTGCAAAATCCCCTCCCTGGTGTGCTGAGAATGTTGATGTTGGTTTCAAGTCTTACTCTCAGCCTTAGACTACATCTTCCTGCCTACGATAACAGTAAGGAAAATACAATTAACTAACTAATAGGAGATTTGTCATGTAGTGCTAAAAGAACATTGCACTTGGTTTGTGTAATACCTTTGTGGATAGTTTTAGGGTATAGAGAGTGCTCTCAAAATTACATTAATTAAGGAGTACAGTGTTCTTCCATTGGTACAATGATGTATTTATAAACTAATGACTCCTAAATTCAAGACTTTTGTGGCATTACACACTGGGGAAATGGACCCTGCGGATGTGTTTGGAAATATCCAGTGAAACCAAACCCAACTCAGTGGATTCTGACTTTTTCCAAGCCTCTAGGACAGAACAGAGCTGCTCTATTAGAGTTTTCAAGGCTATCTATCTTTATCGAAGCCAATTACCACATGTTTCTTCTACAGGCACAAACCCAACTTTTTGGTTAGCAACCAAATATTTAACCAGTGAACCAGTGCTCCTGTTGGGGAATTTAAGAAGGAACTACATTCCCGTAATATAACCATCTGAATGTTGCCTGCAAAGGCTTGAAACTAGCTCACAGTATGAGTCACACATTGTCTTCCAGACCAGGATAAGAGTAGTAGAATTTTGGGGGCTGAGGGATTGAGGGTGGATAATAAAGGCAGGGGAAGAATGAGTTGGAGATGAATTATTTAAGAGTATCAAGCAAATTATGCTCTGTAATCACATTTGAAAATACAGCATAGTTGATAAAGTTGGTCATAAAGTTTTGAAAAACCCTGCCATGCCGACAGATTCAATTCTACTAAAAAATATAAATTGGCAATGATCCTATTCAGGGTTCCAGATCCTTAGAGAGTAGTTGGTAGTTTGCCCAGAGATTTGAGAAATATGCATTTTAAAGGCTTTTTCAAGAGAGAAGGAGCCTACTTCTGATGCACATTCTGTCCAGTGGTTTGGCAGATGGAGTGAGGGATTTGGCTTGACTTGCTTTATGGTGGGCATCTGGTACTGGGCAATCAAACATATGTCTTGTTTTTTTCAGTTATGTCCTACTATTTATTTCTGCCTCTGTCATGAGTTGCTATAAAACCAGATACAGTTCTGAACTTACAAGTTCAGGGAAACCAAATGAAAGATAACCAGGACAGATGGAGAAAAGTGTGTTAAATTCTTTTGCAATCAATTTTAAAATTCTTCTTCCTTCTATTTATTTTAGTTTCTTTAGGCTGGTTGCTTTCAGTTTTTCTCTGACACTTTCCTCACCTTCTTCTCTGAACCTAGTTCATTTAAAAAAAAAATAATAGATTTACATGGCTACCAAACTGAAGCATAATTATGTAAGTTCCCTTGCTCTCTGTATTCTTGGTTAAGAACCAAATAGAATTAGATAGTGAGGGGGGCTGTGTATGTAGATCAATGGGTGGTACTGTGCATAAGTATAAAACTGAAACAAATTTCATATATGTGTTTATTCTTAATACTGTGAATTTAATATTTTCAATTCAATGGCTTTGATTCTACTCTAGTTTGTTAAAAAAAATTGGCTGAATCCTTGTAATTTGATATCCCACTAATGGGTTATAATTCAGTTTGAGAAGTGCTGTTTGAAGCCACAGACTTGTGTGGTCCAGATTAAAGCAACACTTCACTGAGGCAGAGTCATTTTATAAATACCCTGCAGGCCAACTGGACCATGGCAGCCTGCTCTTCTTGGAGATCTTGATCCCCCTTGGACCTGAAACCTGACACTCATGCTCTTTGGTTGGGTGACTTCAGGGAGAGGGTAATCATCTGTGCCTGTTTATCTTCTCCTTAAAACTCATGTAGCTGTGACCCCAATCTCATTCAGCTTTGGTTTCCTTTCTCCGCTATAGGAGTTTTGATAACTGCCACTCTTGTAGATGGGAGGTGTAGAAAATAATAATGCTGCTTTTCTCTTGGCAAAGTTCTTTGTGGCTATGAAATGAAAGGGATTCAGTTTCACCTTCGCTATCATTTTCCCACAGGCCTGTCAAAATTAGGAGTGAAATCAAGTTTAGCTGAAAAGCATGAAATGTCTCCAACCTATATTGACACCTAAAGTTTAACTGCATAATAAATGCTAAGTTTGCAAATTCACTTATTATAAAAAGCCCTTTAAAAGTCAAGTGATATGATAGCCATTATCATAAAGACTATGATAAGATCATTGTTATAGAAAACACTATTTTTCCATATTTAAATTCTGTTACAAGATTAAAAATAAGTCCTTATTTGGATACATACACATGCAGGTGTCTGCTTCTAAACTGTTTTAGAGAGTTTATGAAAGAAAATGCTAACCACAAAATTACTTCAAAGGGCTTTCCTGTAAGCTCTTTGTCTTCCAAAACAGATATTGTACTTTATGTGTTCAAAGCAAGCAAGAGCAAATTATGAAGTGGCCATCAAATGAACTCTTTTAACTATCAGTTGTTATTATTATTTACTGGCTTAAAATAATTCTTTTCAGATTTCCTTCTAGGAAAACTATTACATCTAATAAAAATAATGTTGAATTCTTAAACTTTCAAAGTTAGTTTTATTCAGCAAAAGGTGATGTTGAATTGATTCAGTGAACACTCTTAATTCAGAGCGAAGTGGCACTTTACATCATATCAAGAGCAGCTAAAATTAAGATTTGACTTATGTCATTCATTACCTTAATTATTTTTATCTTTTGATAACCTAGGATCATATGAATATTTCATCCCTCCATTTAATTAAGTTAGCTCTAAATATTGCTCTTGTAACATAGTCTGTAGGTGACACTACTAACTCAAGGACTGACCTACCGCCTTCTCT